CTCGAGTGAGCCTGCCCAGCGCCCTGCCTCCAGGGCAGGGCACCGAAGCCCCGCAACCGAGCGGGCATGCTTCTGTTCAGCTCCGTGAATCCTGGCACCTGCCTTGGCGTACATGTCAGCACTCTCGTTGGCACGCGCTTCCCACCACATGGTGAGTCCTCGGTCTACGTCCAACACCGACGCATGAGCCAAAGTCTCGTGGGCTTCACAGTCGCTCCTGTCAGAGCTGCTCCGGAATGGGGGCCACGGATGCCCTCGAGGAGCCCCCGCGGAGGTCCCAGAGCCAGGCCCCTTTGTGGAGCACTCTGCGGGTGGGCTCGCAGTCCAAAAACAGCTCGAAGGGTGGCATGCCTATCTTTGAAACGGGGGAGGAGGAGGAGGAGGAGGAGGAGGAGGAGGAGGAGGAGGAGGAGGAGGAGGAGGCGGAGGCGGAGGAGGAGGAGGAGGAGGAGGAGGCGGAAGAGGAGGAGGGGGAGGAGGATGAGGAGGAGTACGAGGAGGCCTATCTTTGTAAGCATGTGAGGTCTGCCGAGGCCCCAGGGACAGCGGGACGGGCCCGTAGGCCGCCGACACCCACTGGCCCAGACGATCCACCTGCACGGGCGCCCAGCCTGCACGCGCCACTCCCTGAAGGCGAGCGTGCATCGCCGAGCCATCCGAAAAGGTGCATCCTGTGAGCAGCCCTGTCGCTGGCCTGTTGATCCAGCGCGCATCAGAGCGTGAATTACCTACCCCGCTTTCGCTTCCAGGCAAAACCAAGTCATACCACGCGCCTCCTCGTCAAGCGGCCTGACCAGCGCAGGCCGTAGTTTGGCGTCGCTTGGTATCTCTTGGAAGCGAGGGTGGTCAAAAGCGAGGTAGGTTTGTTTGCGCCCTAGCACAAGGGGGTCTGGCTCGCATGCAGGCAAAGGGACCAGAGGTGAGGGCACCAACCCTCGCGCGAACCTCTCTCACACACCTCCAGCCCAGCCTCCAACGCCCTCCCCGCCCTCTCCCGCAGCTGGCTCGAGACTCCATCCCTGCGCAGGGCGGCATGAGCTGGGCAATCGTACTGACGGTGCCACAGGGCTCCTGGCGCTCCTTAGCAGAGGCGGCAGAGCGGGGAGGGATGGAGACCGTGTGCTGGGCCGTCCACGCAGCCGACTTCCCTCGAAGCAGCCCAGAGACCCCTTGCCAACACTTGGGAAACGACGGTGGCCCTCGGGCCCCCCAAGCCCCTGGGCCCCGTGGAGGTCCAGGGCCAGAGGAGGCGGAGAAAGAGAATGAGGAGGAGGAGGAGGAGGAGGAGGAGGAGGTGGAGGAGGAGGAGGAGGAGGAGAAGGAAGATGGGAATGAGGGGGGGAGATCCTCCTCCTCCTTCTCCGCCTCCTCCACCTCCTCCACCTCCTCCTCCGCCCCCTCTTCCTCCTCGTCCTCCTCATTATCCTCCTCCTCCTCCTCCTCCTCTTCATCCTCCGCCTCGGGCTGCCTGCCCGCCCTATATTAACATCTGCTTGCGGGGCGGCCAAGAGGGGGGAATATCTTTGGGGAGATGGCATGGCTTGATGGGCCACCTACCCACCACCACTACCATGTGTAGGACGGCGGAGAAAAGATGATGAGGAGGTTTTCCTCCTCCTCCTCCTCCTCCGCCTCCTCCTACTCCTCCTACTCCTTCCCCATCCTCATCCATCCTCATCCACATCATCATCCATCCTCGTCATTCTCATCCTCCTCCTCCTCCGCCTCCTCCTCCTCCGCCTGCTCCTCCTCCTCCTCCTCCTCATCCTCCTCCTCCTCCTCCTCCTCCTCGTCCCTCCCCTACCTATGGTAGGCCCCATGGCTGGGGCCATGATATCTCCCCAGATGGTATGGCCCCTCAGGCCAGGATCTGCGGACCCCCCCTTGCTCCCCTCTTGAACGCCCCCCTCCCTGGACACACGCCCCCCCCAGAGGGCCCCCCTCGCCTAGGCGCCTCCCCCTCCTTGACCCCCCCACCTTTGGACGCCCGCCTCCTCGACGCCCACGGCTGGGGGCCGCGGCGGCAGCCTCCCAGCGAAAGGCCACATGCGCAGGCAGGCGCCCCGACCTGCGCGCCGCCGGGGGGCCGAGCGCAGGGGCCGCCCTCGTGTGGCCTGCACTTCCCCGCCCTGATACCGCTCGTTGCCCCTCGCTCCCTCAGTTTCGGTTTGCCGACCCCTGGCCTGGTCCCCCTCCTCTCGAAGGCATGCTCTGGTCCTGGGGCTGCAACATCCGATCCGCTCACCAAGGCCTCGTCCTCCTCCTCTTCCTCATCCTCCTCCTCCTCCTCCTCCTTCCCCTCGAGCCGCCACCACGGCTGAAGGTCGAGGGACACGCGGCCCTCCCACCCTGTTCCATCGCCCGCCAGGGGAGCAGCGCGCGATGCCCACGCGCCCGCGGGGCCCAAGATGCCCATGATGGAGGCTCTCCTCTTGCTCGCGGCCGTCGGCTTCTCGCCGCGGGCGGCCGCCTACATGTCGACAGGCGCTTGCCGCGCCCCACGCACTCAGGAGCGAGAGCCTCAACCTGCTCAGCACACCAGGCTCTACGTGTACGACCCTCTCTACCTGACGGGCAGCACCCGCGCGCAGGAGATCACCTGCGAACACTACATGGGCGTGATCCTCTTCCCTGGGACGAGCCGCCGCCCGACACTGGACGGCCGCCACAGCCTCTTTCAGCACGACTACCAGTGGGAGCTCTCCTTCGGCTGGACCAACAAGAGTTGCGGGGGGAGCATCTTCCTACATCAGCGGTTTCCGCAGGCACACCTACGTCGGATCTACCCTCCGCCCGCGGCGCTCTCGGGCCGCTGCGGCGCGACAGTGCCGCTCCTCGGACGTGCTCCTCATGGTTCGGCACCTTTCCGTGCCATCCGAGTCCTGCTCCAGCCGCAACTCATACCGCCAGGTGACCCAGGCTATGATCTCGTGGGCACGCACCACGCTGGAGTCTGTGGGCAGTCGACGCACGCCCTTCAGCGGGGCGGACCTCAGCTCGGCGACTCCGTGGACGAGACGTTTCTCGGCCCCCCGTCCCTGCTCGAGCCCGACTTGTGGAGCGAGGTCGACAGCGCCGTGGGCCCCTTCCTGGAGCTGGAGGGCCTTTCTGGACGTCTTTGGCAACGGTTCCTCTCGGACCACGACACCTTCTTTGTCAGCGGGGACACCTTCATCGGGGCGCACGGACGGTCACGCAGGATCGACTTCCTCCACGCCCCGTGCAAGTGCAAGGCCCCCATGGGAGCAGGACGCCGCCTCAACACATTGTACGATCGAGACCACCGCTCTGTCTACGCGGGCGACATCTTCGAGGCCCACGCGCAGCACACCTGGGACTACGACACGATCATGCTTCGTCTGGAGGGCGCCCTGAAGTCGCGCGACCTGCAGCAGGCGGTCACGTTCCTCCCCAAGATGGCGCGCCAGCACGCCCAGCAGCTCAGGGACCTCGCGGCCTCGGAATGGATCAGCATCGTGACCCCGCCCACGGCTACTTCGATCGTCGCAGCTCGGGAAGCGGGCAAGATGTACGCAGAGGCGGCGCAGGTCCCCGAGGCGAAGCCCCAACTCACCACATTTGTACATCGCTCACGCCGAGTTCAAGTACCCGTCGGCCTCCGTGGAGCAGGAGGCCCCGCAGGGGCACGTGCTCCCGCGTACCTTCTACCAGCAGTTCGTTTGCATGGGGACGGGCTCGGCGCTCTGCCCCACCTCAGGCTGCGCACGCGCCACAACGACCGGTACACCAGGATGCAGTTCGCTAGCGCGGACCAGATCACACTGAAGAGCGTCCACCCAGACGGCCCTCGGGAGACATGCCTCGACGTTCTGGGCGGCCGCCAGAAGATGGGGACGGCCCCTCTGGGCCACCTGGAATCGATGGCCCAGAAACTGCTAGACAAGAACCGCCAGATCCACTACGGCCAGAAGGGCTGACATGGGTGGCGGATCCTACGGAAAGAGATGGGCGACCAGCACACTACGGGACGACGTGAGTCCCTCCAGCAGCTCCGCTGTAGCACCAGGCCCCTCTAGTCGCTCTCGCCGCCCCTGGTCTCTAGGGCGCGCCGTCGGCTCTTTTTTTCTGCCTTTTTTTTTTTTTTTCCTTCTCGGGGCCTCTGGGTGTCCAGGGAGCCTGCTCGGTGCTCTCCGCGCCGTCGAGTTCGGCCCCCAGGGGCCAGAGGGGTATCACCCCCCGCCCGCGGGCGCCTTCCTGTTTCCTGTCCTGCTCGGCTCTGATCAAAGGTGATCACAGCTGCACGGCGCGCCCACACGCCTGACCTCGTTCGGTCCGAGGAGATCGCACGACTGCTCAGAGGTGTCCCCGAGCGATCTCTCGTTTCGTGAGATCGAGGGGTGAGTGTCTTCAGACTCACAGCGCATTGCCGAGTCCATCCATCCATCCATCCATCCTTCTCCTCGTCCTCCTCCTCCTCCTCCTCCTCCTCCTCCTCCTTCTCCTCCTCCTCCTCCTCCTCCTCCTCCTCCTCCTCCTCCCTCAACCTCCTCCCCCTCCCTCCCTCCCTCCCTCCTCCTCCTCCTCCTCTTCCCCCTCTTCCTCCCTCCTCCCCTGCGAGGGCGCGGGGCGAGCGAGCGAGGCGCTGGTCCCTGCGCGCACGGCGGCCAGCGCGTGCCGTGGCGCCCGTCTGCGCGCACTGCCGCATGGAGAGAGCGCGCGGGGGGAGGAGGAGGAGGAGGAGGAGGAGGAGGAGGAGGAGGAGGAGGACTCGTCGAGGCCCGATGGCAGCGGCGTTCTGCGAGCTGCGTGCCAGCCTCTGCCGACAGGCTCCCAGCGTCAGCAGCGTCGGAGTCCGAGCACGTCCAGCGCTCCATCTCGCCTGCCGCAGGGCCTCCCGTCGTCCCTCGTCCTGCCTGCGGACGTGCCTGCTCAGTCCTGTAAGCATCAGCCATGTTCACTGGAGCGCATTGGCGAGCAGGATTGCTACGGGTAGGTTCGCCGCGGCAAGGCAGGCGCTCGTACGCTTTCCAAGTAGGCGTGCATGTCGGAGTTCTTCCTCGTTAATGTTAAAGAGACGGGGAGCCGCTCACCGCCCCCCATCCCCCTTCGCTTTTCCGTAGGAGTTCAGATCTATCAGTGTTAAAGATACGGGGGTCCCTTTCCCCCCCCTGTCCCCCTTCGCTTTTTGGCTGAGCAGTGCGTGCGCAAGGCGTTCCTACTGCGTTTGCCTAAGGATTCGGATGGCTCTGTCGAGGTTCCGGCCCGCAGTCGTGGGCGCCGCGTTGGCCGAGGAGGGCGGATTGAGTGGCCGAGGAGAGGCGGAGGCCCCCGCGTCGTCGTCGCCCCTCCCATCCCCCAGCCCCGAAGGACTGGGCGGACAGCGCGCGCGGGGACGACTGCCCCGAGGACCTCCTTTTGGTTGGTGCTTTCCCAGGGCGGCCCGTGCTGCCGTCAGGCGGAGGGGGGCCCGGCGGTCTGCCTGGCGGTCTGCGCCGGCGCGCGAGCGCTTTGGAGGCCCTCTCGGGCAGGGCCGACAGGCAGCAGGTGCCGAGAGTGATCCTGCCGAGCCGGGGCTACACCGACACGGGCCTTGGCTCAGGACCCAGACCCCCTCGAGTCATGAAAAAATCACGACGGGAGATTTTTCTATGTTTTCGGCCTCCGGGGGGCCTTACCGGCCCTCGGGACCGTCAAAAAACGACTCGGGGTGGAAAACAGGTCCCGGCGAAGAGGTCTGGACCTCTGGGGTCGCGTCATGAAAAAGTCATGACGTCGGGGGTCTGGGGATCCTGCAGGATCCTTGAGGGTTTTGCAGGCTCCTGCAGAGATCGACGGATTGACCCGAATCAGTAGATCCCCGACTGGCGTCCCAGCACGTCCTTTCGACCTGGACACGCTGTTGACCGAAGACCTGCGGCGCCGAAGGGTGCGATCTCGTTGGCTCAAAAACGCAATACCTAGTCTTATTGCTTCTGCGATATCCCGACTCTGCCATTAGGTTGTCCACTGGAGCACCCATCGTTTCGTGGCTTGTGCTGCTCGTTGCGGGGATCGGTGGCTGCATACACAATGCCCGCCACGGCTTGTCTGAGAACATTTGATGCATGTGTATTATGCGTACGCGTTGGCCTCGTGTGCAGCACAGCCATCGTTACCAGTGGCAGCGAACGAGCGTGGGTAGTCAAGCGGCCGAGGAGGATTGGCACCCAAGACCCCAGTATATCGATTGAGCGACAAGCTTGGTAAGCTCGATTTGGCTGACGATAGGGGTTTCACGCGCAAGTGTCATGCCATGGGTTCCCCCCCAGGGCCCCCTCTTGTCACACGTGTCCGCAATCCGCCATCGTTTCGTGTTGTTTTAGTTTGCCGTCATCTTTCGTGTATTCCCAGCCCACTGTTCTCCTCTTGATACTCCACCTTGTGCTTGCTCTTTGTGCAAAGGCGCGTGCGAAGCTGGAGCTAACGGCACGGGCACTTTCTCGATGGTTCCTTTTCTTCGTCTTCTCCTCATGCATCTTCTTCTTCTTCTTCCTATAAGTATGTTTCTTCTTGTTATTATTAATACTCGTCTTCTTCTTTCACCGCTACCAAACCGCTCATCACCGCCATCACCGAACTCTCTAATTTCAGGAGTTCGGTGCCCACTGTCTCCCCTACGCCTTGCGAGTTCGTTCATATGTGTCGGACTCTGTGCCACCTAAATCCCACAAACCGTTCAAATGCATTCTGATGAATGAGAAACATCTGATGTTCCAGTCGCCTGCGAACTTCTGGCAAGACACCCTTCAGACCGTCAGGGCTAGAATATACATATATCGGCGCACCGGGTCCGGGGGCCCGGGGCCGGGACCCCGACCGCAAATGTGCACCCCGGGGGGCCCGGAGGCTCGTCGGGGCTTGCCGGAGGCCTCCCCAGTCAGACAAGACGGCCCAAGAAGCGCCCAAGACGGCCCAAGAAACTTCCAAGAGGCCTCCAAGAGGGCTCCGAGATGCTGAAGATGGCCTCCAGACGTCCAAGGACGCCCCCAAGAGGCCCCAAGAAGCCTCCAACATGCGTCCCAAGAGGGCCCCTAGACGCAAAAATTGGCCCATTCCCTTCGTAAAACGTACATTTTCAACAAAGTTGTCTTTTGGGCTTTCCGACGTTACAGGACGGCCCAAGAGGCGCCCAAGACCGCCCCAAGACGGCCCAAGAAGCTTCCAAGAGGGCCCCAGGACAGCCCAAGAGGGCCCCAAGACGGCCCAAGAGGCGCCCAAGATGGCCCAAGAGGGCCCCAAGACGGGCCCAAGAGGGGGCCCAGAGGGGGACCACGAACCGCAAGCTCGAGCCTTCCGCCCCAAGAGGCCGCCAGGAGGCCCCCAGGAGGCCCCTCAAGAGGCCCCAGGAGACCCCAGACGTCCAAGGACGCCCCCAAGAGGCCCCAAGAAGCCTCCAACATGCGTCCCAAGAGGGCCCCTAGACGCAAAAATTGGCCCATTCCCTTCGTAAAACGTACATTTTCAACAAAGTCGCCTTTTGGGCTTTCCGACGTTACAGGACGGCCCAAGAGGCGCCCAAGACCGCCCCAAGACGGCCCAAGAAGCTTCCAAGAGGGCCCCAGGACAGCCCAAGAGGGCCCCAAGACGGCCCAAGAGGCGCCCAAGATGGCCCAAGAGGGCCCCAAGACGGGCCCAAGAGGGGGCCCAGAGGGGGACCACGAACCGCAAGCTCGAGCCTTCCGCCCCAAGAGGCCGCCAGGAGGCCCCCAGGAGGCCCCTCAAGAGGCCCCAGGAGACCCCAGACGTCCAAGGACGCCCCCAAGAGGCCCCAAGAAGCCTCCAACATGCGTCCCAAGAGGGCCCCTAGACGCAAAAATTGGCCCATTCCCTTCGTAAAACGTACATTTTCAACAAAGTTGTCTTTTGGGCTTTCCGACGTTACAGGACGGCCCAAGAGGCGCCCAAGACCGCCCCAAGACGGCCCAAGAAGCTTCCAAGAGGGCCCCAGGACAGCCCAAGAGGGCCCCAAGACGGCCCAAGAGGCGCCCAAGATGGCCCAAGAGGGCCCCAAGACGGGCCCAAGAGGGGGCCCAGAGGGGGACCACGAACCGCAAGCTCGAGCCTTCCGCCCCAAGAGGCCGCCAGGAGGCCCCCAGGAGGCCCCTCAAGAGGCCCCAGGAGACCCCAGTCGTCCAAGGACGCCCCCAAGACGCTTCGCGTCACCAATTTCTTCTCGCAACGATTCCTGGGTCTGTGACTCGACAGAACCTAAGCGCGCGCGAAGCGCGCGCGTGGTTCTAGTCCCCATGTATGCTCGACGAAACCTGAGTGAGTTCAACTTGCTACTATGGTGCAGGGAACTAGTTAGCAAGTGAGGTTGAGGGGTAGAGTTAGAAAGTCCAGGGTTCGTCAGGGATTGGTTTCCTTTCGAAACAGCCAAGACTCTCGCGAAACCCTCCGAAAACCATCCGGGAAGGGTTCCGTGAGGCTTTCCGGAAGGTTTCGGGAGGGTTTTGGCAGGTTTGTCGTCGTTTCGAGGGGAAGCCAGTCCCCAGCAAACCTTGGGTTTTCTCAGGGCAGAGGATACCCAGCCCGTGAGTTTTACACTGTTCGTCAAGGACGCCGGCGTTGTATCGCCGACCGCTCCCTGGGACTCTGGCGAGGTGGCGCGCAGCATCCAGGGTCGTGCCGCCGTGAGGCCTCTGGTGGCTTCCCGAGGGAGTCTTGAGGCACTTGTGCCTCTCTCGAACATGGCCAGGACCCCCGGTAAGGGGACACGGTTCGCAGTAGGGCCCTGGAGCCCCTAAATTCGCCAGAATCACTTGAATCAGGAGGGAAAGAAACACACAAACACAATGAATCGTCGACTCCCAGGAAAATACGGGAACGTATGGGAAGTGGGGGGGAAGACGAACACCCAGAACATATGGGAATATATGGGGAATCCTGTTGTTTGTGTGTGTATCCATTTGTGTGTCCCAGGGTCCCTTCACAAGTTCGCCAGAATCACTAAAAACCAGGTCTGCCGTAGCCGGTGTTTTTCCGGGTGTACGGCAGCCGGGGCGGAGGGGCGTCCCTCAAGTACACAGCCCCAAGCCGGGCCCCACGGAGCTGCAGTCCTGCCAGCGCCCGGCTCCCGGAGGCGAGAGGAAGGTCTCTGGGGCAGCGTGTGTGAGGAAGGCCTCCGAACGCCCCTTCGCTTCTCCCGCCCTGGGCGCTTCAGGAGGAGGAGGACGAGGAGGAGGATGACGACGAGGACGAGGGGGAGGAGGAGGAGGAGGAGGAGGAGGAGGAGGAGGAGGAGGAGGAGGAGGTGGAGGATGAGGAGGAGATGGAGACAGGCGAGAACGCCCAAAATCCTACAGCAACTAACCTGGATTACTTGCAGTCGTGCTCCTGGGTCCCTCCCGCGGGTCAGCTCCTGGAGCCCCTTTGCGGCCTCTCGGGGGCCTCTCGGGCCGTCCCGAGGCCAGCGCGGCTTCCTGGAGCGTTCTTGGTGCCATCTCGGGGCCCTCCTGGGCCTTCGTGGGACCCTCTGGGAACTCTCCGAGCCGTCTTCTCGGGGGCGGCAAAGAGGGGGGTAATGACTAGGGGGGGGGATTCGTGGCGTGGGCCATGATATTTCCTCAGATTTCATGGCGCCTCTTCTTGTTTCATAACGTCCCTGGCCCCCCCGCTGGGCCGCGCACATGCCGCCGGTCATGATTTGCACCCCCCCCTCTTGGACACCCCCCTCTTGGCCGCCCCCGATCTTCCGCTGGTCTGCTTGTCGTCTTCGGGCCGTGGGGTACACGCGGGCAGGGCGCGCCGGGACCCGGAGCCGCGGAGGGGCCGCCGGCAGCGCAGCGCCCCAGAGCCGTCTGGAGGTTCCGAGCAGGCACATCGTCAACCCGCGCAGTGAGGATGGGCACTTTTCCCAGCGGTGCCCCTGCAGCCTTGCCTCCTCGGTGCATCCTTGGCCACTTTCGCTGGCCGCGCCCCGCTCGACAAGCTTCGAGATGGCCCTCCAGGGCCCTTGCGTCCTTATCGTGCATCCTTCTGTTATGGGTCGACTGTAGTCGGCGCTGGTCGCCAACATCTCCATGGTGATCTCACTCGAAAAACACAAAAAACTGCATAAGCATAAACGTTCGGCGCTCCTCGCGGATTTCTGGGATCCACGCTAGGACCCCCGGCTGCGCCTCCGGCGCCGCTCCTGTCGCGCTCCGCGCACCAGGGAGGGGAGTCCAACGCAGATCCAAGAAATCCGCGCGGAGCGCCAGAAATACACGTGTATGGCGTTGTTCCTTCATCTAAAACATCGCCATGGTGATCTCACGCGGCCCACACCACAGGCGGGAGCGGCCCGATCTGAAGATTTTCGCCTTCTGTTGTTGGCCGCACTCTTTGATGGGTTGATGGTTGGGTTGATTTGGTCATGTGTTCTTGTTGGCCAGTTGGTTGGCTAACTGGTTGTCAGGCTGGCAGCTCCAGCTGGTTGTCTGGCTGTCTGGTCGGTTGGTTGGTTGATGGGCTAGTTGGCTGATAGGCTTGATTGTTGGTTGGATTGATGGCTGATTGATTGGTTGGCGGATTCGTCACAGGACAGCGCCATTGGAGATAGAGGCTCCATCCGCGCGCTTCTCCCTCCACCAGTGCTCCTGCATCAGTCCAACAGCAGTCCATCCTGGGACCTCCAGGGCAGTCTCAGACTCATAGAACGAGACGGGTCAGGCGTCCCGAGCAGAACATGGGCACTCGTATAGTGTACGGCAAGCAGCTGGTCCGCCGCCACGCACTGGCACATCATGTCTGGAGACTTTGAGTGACACCTGGTGGCATTTGTAAACATCTTGTGGCGCTCCTTGGGGGCCTCCTGGGGTCTTGCTGGGGGCCTCCAGGGGTCCTCTTGGGACCTCTTGGAGGCCTCTTGGGCCGTCTGACGCCTTCGGAGGCCGTCGTGGGGGCCTCTCGGGGCAGTCTTGGTGCCCCCTCGCAGCGTTTTAGGGCCGTCGTGGGGCCCTGTTGGGCGGTTCTTGGGCGTTCGTGGGGTCCTTTTGGGCAGACTTGGGGATTTCTTTGGGGGCCTCATGGGCTGTCTTGGAGCCATCTGGGAGGGCCAGTGGGCCGTCTTCGGCGGTCGGAAACCTACACAGGTGCGAACTTCAAAATCCTTTTACAGTCATAGGCCAGTCAAAGTGATTCGCCTCCTCGGGGGCCTCTTATGGGGGCCTATTGCGCCGTCTTGGACAGCTCGTGGCCCGTATGAAGCCTCCGGGAATCGTCTTGGGAGCGTCGCTGGGCCGTCTCGGTGCCCGCTTGGAGCGCTTTATGGCCGTCCTGGGCCCTCCTCGACTTCTCTCTTGCGATCTGAGGGTCCTCTTGGGCCGACTTGGAGGCCCCCTTGGCGGTCACAAGCCCAAACAGACGAGAACCACAACATCTTCAGCACCCTAAGGAGAACCGAAGTTTTGTCCTCCGGCTCTCCCGGAGAGCCTTTCGGAGGTTCCTTCGGCCCTTCTTTGGACCCCCTGGGCCGTCTTGAGGCCGTCTTGAGAGCATTGAGCTGTCTTGGGTCTTGGGCCATATCCGATCGCTATGGTGCCGTCTTCGCTGTCGTGGGGAGGCCATCTCGGCCGCCAAGAGGCCGACAAGAACGCCGGAGAGCAAACTGAGGGTTGGTTGTTTTCGGGCGACGCGTGCAATGAGGGATGGGGCTGGTCCTAGAATTAAGTCGGGCATGTCCCTCTGCAGGAGGAAGATACCAAAATAGCAATTTTTGAATATGTTTGGAATCTTGTTTTGGCTATTTTTCATTTTTCGTCCAAAATCGGCCTGTAAGGGGACAGGCCCGACTTAACCCTAGAAAACACTTCAAAACCTCCCAGACAACAGACGAGCATTGTAACACGCCCAGTCCGTGCATGGACGGTAGCGGATCTTTGAGGGGATTCGGGATACGTTGGGGAGGTCCTTGGCCACCCCATAGACCTCCTGTGGCCGTCTGGGGGGGTCTCTTGGACGCATGCCAGAGGCCAAACCAAGGTTGACCATCCTGCCCGCAATTGGAGGTGCTCCCCTCCAGTGGGAAAGCGCTGGTTCCGTGAGCCACCGGTGGTTCAGCACCACGTCGTGCTTCGGGCAGCAGGGGACACCGGAGGTGGCGCCCAGTGGCAGGGTCAGAGCGACGCTGTTTTGCAGGACGAGCGGAGCGGTACGAGCTGGGGCCCGAGGCTAATGTCGGTCCTGGTCTTTGCAATTATAGGAGGCCTAGAGGTTGACACCAACACCAATATCGGCGTTGTGCCTTTCCCGAGGGAAGAGTATCTCAATTTCGGTGATGGTGGTAATATTCTGGCCTCCTAGGCGGCCGAAAGATTACCACCAACACCGAAGTCTAGGATCACCTTCCCCTGGTGGAGGCAACCCCCTGTGTTGGTGTTGGTGTCAATTTCCAACCCTCCAAAATTGTGTTTTAATCTCCGGTGGGCCTCGTCGCTGCTTGGACGTAGCCCGAAAAAGAGTGTTGCCCCAGAGGGGTCACGAGTGTGGAGTGGCCTCCCACCTTCGGCAGATGACTCGGGCGGGGCTGCGCTCGGAGTTCCGATGCATCCTCCAGAACCGCCGAAGCCGGAGATCCCCCATATTTGTCCCGGTTCGATGTTGTCCCTGTCTTGGCATCGTGATGACATTTCGCCAGAGTGACCTTTGGTGCTGGCACAACAGGTCCCCAGATGGCTGAATGCTTTGCGATAGCAACTGCTGGCGCCCTCCCAGTCGGCCTCCCCGCGTCCCCGGAAAGCTGCGCACCAGAGGTCACTCTTGCCTGGGGTCAGTCACTCTTGCATTTAGCCGACTAGGGCCGGGGGCGGCAAATAGGGGGCTAATGACTGGGGGGGGGGAGATCATGGCGTGGGCCATGATATTTCCGCAGATCTCATGGCGCTCCTTCTTATTTCATTGCGCCCCTGGCCCCCCCCCGGGGCCGCGCACGTGCCGCCGGCCATGACCCAGAGATCCGATGTCGTGATTTTTTCAAAACGCGCCCCCCCGAAGTCTCGAACCATTCGCGGTCCCAGGGCCCGGCGAGGGCCCCTAGGGGCCGAAAGTCGAGCAAGACCTCCGTCTTGATTTTTCCAATGCGTTGGGACTCGGGAGCTGCGCCCCCCCCTCCCTTGAGCGCCCCCTCTTGGCCGCCCCCGGCGGGGACGGACGCCAGCCGTGTTGGCCTCGAGCGCTGGACCGCCAGCGCGGGCGCCCCCGCCAGCGTGGCGCCATGGCGGGGCCTGGCCGTGGCGCCCACGCGCCAGGGCGGCGCCTCCGCCCGCCAGAGCTCTGAGGTGCGCTGCGGGGGGGGTCCACCGCTGTTGGGGGAGCTCCCGGGAGCTGGAGCACAGATCGGGGGGGGAAAAGGTACCCATATACCTCTACCCTCCCCTCGTTTTCCCCTTTTTGGGGGCCTCCTGGGCCTCCGTCGTCGCCACCGCTGGATTCGCCTCGGCATCCTGGTCAGAGCGCACCCCAGGAGAGGTCCGGGGAGTAGCGGTATCGGTACCTTTTGGTTTCCCCAATCTACCCTACCAGCGGCGCGCTGCTGTTCCGTCCCAGGACCTTTTTTCAGGGTCGGGGACGACGTCGGGGTGCTGTGGTGCCTGTTTCTTCTTCCGTCATTCCCGGGGAAGCCGTGACAAATGTACACCAGGGTCCCGTATACACCAGGATTCGTTTTATTTTATCGCTTCGCTCATTCCGCCGGCACTGGAGCGCTATTTGGGGCCCCTTGGGGCCGTCTTGGGGGCCTCTTGGGGGCTTCTTGGGAGCGTCTTGGGGCTCCTTGGCGGCGTCTTGGGCTCCCCTGGGGCCTCTTAGGGGGCTCTTGGGGGCGGGAGGGGGGGTAGTCGATTGCAGCCACCCCCTCGGATGCTTCGATCCCCGTGAGGGGTGGCGAAACCAGGGTCCCGTATACACCAGGATTCGTTGTATTGTGCGAGTTTCAGTGCAGGGCCGGGAAGAAGCGCCGTTGTACAGAGCTCGGCTGCTTCAGCTCCCCCGCCAGCCGCTGGGCCTCCCACGCGTCGGGGGCGGCAAAGGAGGGGGGGTGCTGACTAGTAGGGGGGTGATGGACATCATGGCGGGGGCCATGGCATCTCCCCAGATGTCATGGCTCTGCCTGCTGTGTCGAGGCGTCCCCGGCACGCCCCCGGGCCGCGCACGTGCCGCCAGCCACGAGCTGTGCCCCCCCGCTCTTGGACGCCCCCGCGCTTGGCCGCTCCCGATACATGGGGTCCGAACAGTTGGGCCGGAAGGTCGCGTCGCATCGCCGATGCATCGCCGATGCCTCGCCGATGCCTCGTTGGCGTTGGCGGTGCGTCGGCGACGTCGGCGTGGAGAGCGTCAGGCTCCACGTCGAGCCGCACCGCCGATGCCTCGGCCGATGCGGCTCGACCCTCCGGCCCCATCGGCTCGGAGCCCATCTGGGAGGCCTGGGAAGCCGCAGCTCCGGGTGCGCCAGTGTGACCGAGCGCCAGGTAAGCGCTGTTCATGTAGGCATGAGGCGCGAGATCTTGTACATGGCGCTCGCTGCCAGCTCGATGATCAACTTGGTGTTCTTCGTCTGGATGGTCCGTCCCTCCATGCCGTCGGTGTCACAGTCGAGCCAGGTCGCCGCCGAACAGGGGGCGCTGGCAGCAGATGAACAGCGACAGCGAGTGGCGCTAAACGGAACTGGGGTGGGCGTCGACAGCGAGCTCGCTAAACGGAATGCGGTGGCGGGAGATGAGGCGCTTGGGGCCAGAGCCGACGGCGAGCTTGGCGGTGCCGCCGCCGCCGCCGCCAAGCCGACGGACGGGATGTTGGCGGCGCCTCTCGCGGCTGACAGAGATAGCGACGGTAACCCAGCTGCCGCAAGCGACGTCGAGGAAGAGGCAGCGCTGCAGGGCCCACCACCGGACCAACACGACGTAGGCGCCGAGGTCAAGTTCGCCCCCTCTGCGTACAACGGCCCGATGCTCACTGACCCGACGCAGGGAGTCCGGAAATTGACCGAGGAGTCCATCGTCTGGAGCCGGCTCGGTCCCTGCCGCTTCGGGCGCAGCCTGCTGGCTCCGTGGCTGCCGCACCGAGCGTGCCAATGGGACGACTGCCTGCGGTGCAGAGGAGGCTACTGCTTGCTGCAGAGCCTGCTGCAGGAACCGCCCTTGCCGGAGGTGTTCGACCGCAAGTGCCCGGAGCTCGGAGGAGGAAACGGTACCCATACCTCTACGCTTTGCCCGTTTTCCCCTTTTTGGGGCCTCCTGGGAGGCCCTCGTCGCCACCGATGGGTTCGCCTCGAAATTCTGGTCAGAACGCTCCCCAGGAGAGGTCTGGGGAGCAGCGGTATCGGTACCTTTTTGCTTCCCCAGGAGCCTTCTGGCGGCCAGGTCTCGGGGAACGGCAGCCAGCCTTTGGTGAGCTTCGTCTGGACCGTACACAACAGAGCCACGGTGGCAGCCAACGCCTTGCTCTGCGTGTTCCGGACGGCCCACGAGGTTCCCAGCGCCGAGTTTGTTGTGTATGACGATGGCAGCACCGATGACATGACCGCATTGGTTTCCCTAATGGGCACGCTGCAGCGGGAGTTCGGCGCGCGCGTGGTGGCCCTGTCATCGCCGCCAGGGCAGACGCAGGGTTACGCGGTGGCCTGCAGCACTGCCCTCCGGCAGGCCAAGGGGAAGTACGCGGTGCTGCTGCACGCGGACGTGTGCCCGCTGCCGGGCTGGCTCGGAGTGCTCGTGAGGACCATCGAGACGTTCCCGGGTGCCGGCATCGTGGGGCCGATGATGGTCTCTCCTCAGGGTGAGGTCCTGGAGATGGGGGGCTCAGTGTTCCAGCATGGCAGGGCAGCTCTCCGCGAGCGCTTCACCGCGCCCGACGAGGTGATGCTCCTGCACGCCACGGCCGCCGACTTTGCCGGCGGCGCGTGCCTGCTGCTCGACCGCCAGCTGTTCCTCTCGCAGAGCCCCTTTGGCCCGCAGTCTGCCCCGGCTGCCTTCGAGGCCGCCGACGCCGCCCTCACGATGCGCGCTGCAGGCTACCTCACCGTGGTGCAGCCACTGTCCGTGGTAGTCCGTGCGAAGGGCGTTTCCTACACCGCCAGTGAGACAGAGGAGCAGATGAGGATCGACCAGCTCGGGTTTTACAACAGGCACAAGGACCAGCTGGACCTGCACTGTCCCCCGCCGGACGCGTGCACAGAGCGGGAAAACGTAGAGCGGGCCATCCGCTACGACGCGTTCCAGCGACAGGGCTCCCAGATCCTCATCTCGAAGAAGAAAGAGTTGCAGAAACGTGAACATTCGCAGCTCCTCGCGGATTTCTTGGATCGGCGCTGGTCTCCCCTCCCTGGCGCGCGGAGCGCGCCGGGGGCGGTGCCGGAGGCGCCGCAGGGGAGGCTGCAGGGCCGATCCAGGAAGTCCGCGCGAGTTCCCGAACGTTCATATTTACGCAGCTGTTTGTTCCTCCACCATCATGGACTTCTCCGTCCCGGAGCCCGACAGGGATTCTGGTTCGCTGCGCATGTACGAGATCATGCAGATCGTGGTCGACCGCGGCCACGCCGTGAGCTTCCAGCCAGAGTGCGTGGCCAGCCTCGCCAGGTATTGATCAGGAGGAAAAGAAACACACAGACACAATTAATCCTCGATCCCCCAGAAAATATGGGAAAATATGGGAAGTGGGGGGGAAGACAGAAACCCAGAAGATATGGGAACATATTGGGGGTCTTTTTATTTGTGTGTGTATTTATTTGTGTACCCCAGGGCCCCTTCATGAGCACAGACCGGAGATGGACGGGAAGACGAACGTCCCGAGAGTATTGAAACGTTCGGGAGGCTTGGAATGTGTGTGTGTGTGTTGATGTGTTTGTCTCCACTGACCTCTTCGCAGGTACGTGGCGCCGCTGCTGGCCATGGGCATCACCGAGGAACAGAACCGAACACGACGCAAACTGCCGGAGGGCGGCGCGGAGTTCTTGGATCGGCGCTGGAGTTCCCCCGTCGGAGGCTCCGCCGCCAAGGGGGGGGCTCCAGCGTCGACTCGAGAAGTCCGCGCGGACCTCCGGAAGTTTGCGCTCATGCCATGCTTTGTTCTTCGGGATCCACGTCTTGCAGCCGGGCTCGCTGAAGGCGATGGCGGCGGAGTTGGAGGCGACCGTTAAGTCGGGCACGTCCCTCTACAGGAAGAAAAGTCAAACATATTGAAAACATAGTCTGGGAACTATTTTTTAATTTTTCACAGAAACATCCTGTGGTGTTGGGTCCTCCCATACGTTTAGAGGCCCCAAAGGGAGCTCCACTGAAGGCCCAAGCGACAGGGTCCATATGGCGCACCCGCACCTGATTCGGCACACCCCTCACACATTACGTGGCCCCAAAGGGAGCTCCACCGAAGGCCCCAGCGGCAGGGTCCACATGGCGTGCCTGCGCCCCTCACACGTTTCGTGGCCCCATACGGAGCTTCACCGAGGGCCCCAACGGCAGGGTCCACATGGCGTGCCTGCGCCCCTCACACGTTTCGTGGCCCCGTAGGGAGCTCCACCGAGGGCCCCAACGGCAGGGTCCACATGGCGCACCCGCACTTGGTTAGGCACGCCCCTCATACGTTTCGTGGCCCCACAGGGAGCTCCACCGAATGCCCCTACGGCAGGGTCCACATGGCGCACCCGCACCCGATTCGGCACACCCCTCACACGTATCGCGGCCCCATGGCGAGCTCCACCGAAGGCCCCAGCGGCAGGGTCCACATGGTGTACCCGCACCCGCTTCGGCACACCCCTCACACATTACGTGGCCCCAAAGGGAGCTCCACCGAAGGCCCCAGCGGCAGGGTCCACATGGCGTGCCTGCGCCCCTCACACGTTTCGTGGCCCCATACGGAGCTCCACCGAGGGCCCCAACGGCAGGGTCCACATGGCGTGCCTGCGCCCCTCACACGTTTCGTGGCCCCATACGGAGCTCCACCGAGGGCCCCAACGGCAGGGTCCACATGGCGCACCCGCACTTGATTAGGCACGCTCCTCACACGTTTCGTGGCCCCACAGGGAGCTCCACCGAATGCCCCTACGGCAGGGTCCACATGGCGCACCCGCACCCGATTCGGCACACCCCTCACACGTATCGCGGCCCCATGGCGAGCTCCACCGAAGGCCCCAGCGGCAGGGTTCACATGGCGCACCCGCGCCCGCTTCGGCACACCCCTCACACGTATCGCGGCCCCATGGCGAGCTCCACCGAAGGCCCCAGCGGCAGGGTCCACATGGTGTACCCGCACCCGCTTCGGCACACCTATGACACGTTTCGTGGTCCTAATGGGAGCTCCACCGAAGGCCCCAGCGGCAGGGTCCACATGGTGTACCCGCACCCGCTTCGGCACACCTCTGACACGCTTCGTGGTTCTAAAGGGAGCTCCACTGAGGGCCCAAACGGCAGGGTCCACATGGCGTACCCGCACCCGATTCGGCATGCCCCTCATACGTTTCGTAGCTCCATCGGGAGCTCCACTGAGGGCCCCAACGGCAGGGTCCACATGGCCTACCCGCGCCCGGTTCGGCACACCTCTCACACGTTTCGTGGCCCCGTAGGGAGCTCCACCGAAGGCCCCAGCGGCAGGTTCCACATGGCGTGCCCGCACCTGATTCGGCATGCCCCTCATACGTTTCGTAGCCCCATGGCGAGCTCCACTGAGGGCCCCAGCGGCAGGGTTCACATGGCGCACCCGCGCCCGCTTCGGCACACCCCTCACACGTTTCGTGGCCCCGTGGGGAGCTCCACCGAAGGCCCCAGCGGCAGGTTCCACATGGCGTGCCCGCACCCGCTTGGGCATGCCCCTCACTCGCTACACCGCCTCATCGAATATATCGTGGACAGAGGAAGCCGCGCCGAAGGCCCAAAAGGAAGCTCCACCGAGTGCCACAGTGGAAGCGCCCGCGCGCCGCCGCCATCCCGTTTCGGCACTCCCTTACACGTTTCGCGCGCCCCCCCCATGAGAAACCCCACCGAAGCTTCTACTCACGATTGCGATGCCCGCAGCTGCATATGCTTGGGTCCTTCGCCAGGCTATGTTTGAGCATTTGTTGTCTATTGTTGGACTAGCTTATAGTTTTTCGTTTAAAATTCGCCTGCAGGGGGACATGCCCGACCTCAGGCGACCGGGGGCTCTGCCGGGCGGGAATGGCAGTGTCCCTGGGCCGCCGTCATCGTTTGCAGGAGGTCGACGTTCCGGAGCCAAGAAAGGCACCTCCGTGCGCTCTGCCCGAGCGTGCCCATCGTGTTCGACACCGTGGACCTCCACTACGTCCGGGAGCGGCGATCGGTGGAGGCCGCCTTCGCCAGCGGCGACCAGTCCAAGGTGTTCGTGATGGACAGCTTCTGGGACCCGGTGGCGACACCTCGCGCGAAGCTGGAGTCGCTGCTCAGGGAGGCCGAGGACATGGAGGTCGGCTACATGGCCTCGTCGGACTACGTGCTCGTGGTCAGCACGGCTGAGCACAGGATCGTGGCCGAGCGGGTCGGCGCCGACAAGGTCCGGATCCTGACAAACATCTACCCCGAGCCAGACAGGGAGAGGGGTGCCACCCTAAAGGGCAGGCAGGGCGGGCTGTTCGTTGGGAGCATGTGCCACACCCCCAACCTCGACGCGTCGAAGTTCATCATGCGAGAGGTCTTCGGCCCTGCCACGCACGCCGGCTTCCCGCCGGGCTTCATGCACTTCGTCTGGTCCGGCACCCAGAAGTGCAAGGCCCTCGTTGGCGAGCTGCTCGACGAGGCGCGGGGGCACCCGCTCGTCACGCTCCACCTGGACGTGTCCGACGAGGAGCTGGCGCAGCTCCACATGCGGACGCAGTTCTTCCTTGGGGCGATCCGGGTCGGGGCCGGCGTGAAGGGCAAACTGTGCCAGGCGCTGCTCTATGGCCTGCCCATCATCGGCAGCAGGGCTGCGACCGAGGGCATGCGCATGCAGGACGAAGAGAACGTCCTCGAGGCCAACAGCGTGGACGAGTACCGCGTGCAGATCAAGCGCCTCACGACCGACGCCGACCTCTGGCACAGGCTCCGGAGGAGTGGCTTCGACCTGGTCCAGAGGCATTTCGGGCGTGGCAACGCGAGGGCCGTGCTGGACGAGATCTTCACCGAGCTGAAGGTGGTCCCTCGCGTCTCGCCAGCCGCGCGGGGTCCACGCCGCGCCGCGCCGGCGTGGGCGTGCCCGCTGCAGAGCGGCCTGCAGGCGGCAGGCAGCGGCCGGAGGCTGACGAGGCGCGGCACGAAGGGCCGAGGGCCGCAGCGCCTCCGCAGCCCTGAGAGCGCGTCGTGCCCCTACGCGAGGGACAGCACGAGGCCCGCCATCGTGCCGACCGAGCTGCTGAAGGACCGGCTTCTGGGTGACGAGCGCCTCGAGGATCGCGCGGCTCCCACACAGGCGGTGCACAGGGCGGCTTCGGGGCTCTGCCCAAACAGAACCACGCCGCTGCCAGAGCACCCGTTCATTTTCTATCACATGGAGCACTGCAACGGGGATGTCCTGCGTCCGCTGATGGCGAGCAGCGTGGCCACGAGTGCCAACGTGGCGATCCCAGGCGTGCGTCCCGCTTGGTGCTCGCTCGCTTGGAACGTCGACGAGGCGACAGCGGCGTCTTGCGCTGCGGATCTTGGGTATCCGAATGCCATTCTCTACTTCGGCTCCTTCAGCCCCTTGAGGCTGAGCCGGGTGTCCCAAGGAACCTGTTTCGTAATGCTGCGGCGACCTTTGAGCCGCGCAATGTCGCATTATCAAGCTGTCCTCGGGTCATCCACGGCAGCTGACGCAAGGCGTTTCGCGAGCATGGGCGAGTCCGACTTGAACGACGCGGTATGGGCAACGGGCACTGGTTTGTACATGTCCAGATATCTCGGCTGCAAAGGGACGGACTGCCCCGGCATTGATGCCCATAAAGTTGTAACCGAGGCCAGGCAGCAGCTGGGGCGCTGCCACGTGGGGATCGCGGAGCTGACCCGCGAGACCATGTCGTACCTCCAGCTGCTCCTACCATGGTTCGCTGGTAGTTTCACGACCTTAGACAAAAGTGCCGCCGCCGACCCTTTAAGAGGACGAACCATCGGTAAAGAGGAAATCGCCAGACTCGACCGCCACTTCCAGGGCGACAATCTCCTTTACGAGGACGGCTATAAAGCTTTTGTAAAGCAGATGAATTGGGTGTGGAGCTGCGATTCCGTGGAGAGGTTCGAGGGTGACGCGCCGTCGTTGAGCAGGGAGATGCGCAAAATCGCCCGCAAGGTGATCAAGAGCACGATGGCGGTTCGCGTCCAGATGTCGACCTGCCTGGAGCGGCGGAAGGTTTGCTCCAGCCACACCGTCGACGCGCGGAGTTGCCGCTGCTCAGAGCTGGTGGAGTACTTGGACGACTAGGGGGCTGATCGCGAGGTGCCACGCGAAAGTGCGTTTGTTTACCATCTAGACTCTGCTCCTTTGCCACTATCGGCTCCCACTTGCCTCTCTGTTGAGGGTCGTATTTCAGGCCCAAGAGCCATCTTCCGCTGGTCCGAACTCGCTACACTAATGTTGCCCGGACATCGGCGCCATCTCTAGGCTGGCAGGGCTTGCCACAATATCAACTACCAAGGGTGCCTGGAGATAGGAAGCGACTTTTCACTGCTTTCTCCACTGGCCCCACTCGCGCAAGTCTCTGCCGCTCCGTCGTGGCCTGTAAGTGAAGCGTGTTTGGGTGGGCTCGACCCTAGCATCCCGAGAGCACCTGTGGTGTTCGTGAGCATCATGAGCACCTGTGTTTCTCGCCCGCACCCTCTGGCCCCTGTGGCCAGCTATGGCGACAATGTGAGGGTCTGCCATCACTCGAGTAATTGCTTCCATTGCGTTAAAGCGGCGTTTCCGTTCAACATTGGCCAGTGTCGAGAGCTTTTTGATTATGCACGCTTCGACGTCTCCTTCTTTCATTTTGCTTGGCGCAGGTGAGAAGGTTCATCATCCCTCCGAAGGGGCGCTGTGTAATCTAGCGTTTCGGAAATGCCGAGCACGCCATTATAGTGGGCAGTCTGATGGCTACGCTGATGGCCACGCTACTGACGTGCCATCTTGTCTTGGCAAAGCCAACGCGCTATGGAGAAAAATGTCGTATACGTCGTCCTGATACATCTTTACGGCACCCCGAAGACCCCAAGGGAGATTGATCGGCCCTCTTGTCAGTACAGACCCGCGCATTGGCGCAATGTAAGTGCGTGTGCATTGCCCTTTCTGGATGCTCGGGGATTGTACGTCCTACATAACACTTCATATTGATGATGTTGCGCATTCGTTTAATACACCCCTTCCCTTTCGCGCACTTCCCACTCACGCGATGAGAGGTTCTAGGGCCAGCCAGTTGTTTCAAGCGGCAAGCTGGCGAGCGCAGCTGTTTCGCTGACCCAGGTAGACTTTCTGGAATTGGACGCCGAGTTCGATCCAGACAGCTCCATGCACCCCGAGGAGGTGACGGACAATCCTTCTTCGGAGTGTTTGCTCGTTCTGCGCGACGTCAACAAGGAGGTCGCTTGACGCAGACATCGGAGTTGGCATCGGGGGCACGCACGACTTGAATGTATTCCACGGGCTTGGGTGCGTAGTGGGAGATGCGCATGGGGAGGGGGCGTCAGAGCAAGAGAGGGCGGGTGAGCAGGGTCGAGAAGGAAGGAGCAGGACACAAGGGGAACAAGAGGTGTTTCAGTGAGTTTGCTCTGCTCGGATGGTTCAAGATGCCTGAGGCGCAAGTGTCAGCAATGAGTCAGAGTTTCTCAACAAGCGTCGGGGGGACGCCATTCCCGCCGACAGCCCCCTGTCGACCCCCGTCGTGGGTAGCCACCGCTCGCCGAAGGCGCTCCGACCCCAGTCGCGGCGCGACGACGAGGCGAGGTTGACCCCCGCCGGGGGGGTACCCCCCACTCTTTTTAAGAAACCCAGAGCACAGTCAACCATGATAGTAAGGATGGGCAACCTTCCCAAGGGTACCCTTGCATCCTCGCCTCCTCGGTCCATCCTTCGCCGTTTTCGCTTGCCGCGTCCCGCTCGAAAAGCTTCGAAATGGGCGCCCAAGGCCCTTGCATCCTTATCGCGCATCCTTACTATACTTGTTGACTGTAGCTTCTGAGTTCCCTCACCGAAGTCTTCCGACTGCAGTGTTCGAGTGTTCGGAGAGGCCCTACGGCCTGCTCCGCCGACCCTGAAGGGGAATCGGGAAGCGCCCCGGAGGGCAGCGAGGGAGCCGAGGAGCTCACGAAGGCAGGCCGACGGCTATCCAAGAAGGGCTTGAAGAGCGCATCGAGATTGAAGACGAGACAGAAGACCGTGCCACCTCTATCTGGTAGAATGTGCTTCGGCCCAGGGTGGGACGGGAAATGCCAGTTCGTGCTCCACCTCGTGGGCCCTTCTTGGGACTCTCGTGGGCCACCTTGCAGCCTCTTGGGGGCCACCCGGGCAGCCTTGTGGCATTTTTGTGCCGTCTTGGGCCCCTCTGTGGGGCCCGTTGGGCTGTCTTGGGGCGATCCTGGGGGCCCCTTTTGGGCTGTATTGATTATATTTGCTTGGTGGGGCCCTCGTGCGGGTCCTATTGGGGCCCTCTTTGGCCGTCTTGGAGGCCCCTTGGGTCGTCTTGGGGGGGCGGCGGCGACGACGAGGGAGGAGGATTAGGAGGATGAAGAGGCTCCGGTGTAACTCTGGAGCACCCCCCCCTGCCCCCCCCCCCCAGGGACCCCCCCCCAGGGTTAGACTCCACTCGTTTAAAATAGATATGAGATGCCGACCTAGTTTAGCCGAGATCTATTTTTAGCGAGTCCAATTTTACCGAGCCGGGGCCTGAATTTGGAGTATATGTCCCCGGGAACCCTCCTGAGATGATGTTGTCGTTGCCATTGTAGTCCAGGTTCAGTCCAGGGTCAGTCCGGGGTCAGTCTGAGGTCAGTCCGGGGTCAGTCCAGGGTCAGTCAGCCGGGGTCAGTCCAGGGTGGATCGATGCGTCCGGGGTCAGTCCGGGGTCAGTCCGAGGTCAGTCTGGGGTCAGTCCGGAGTCAGTCCGGAGTCAGTCTGGGGTCAGTCCGGGGTCAGTCCGGGGTCAATCTTGGGTCAGTCCGGGGTCAGTCTGGGGTCAGTCCGGGGTCAGTCCCGGGTCGGTCCGGGGTCAGTCCAGGGTCGGTCCGGGGTCGGTCCGGGGTCAGTCCAGTTTGAAGGGGGCTGGGAGGCCCAGCCAACAGCTTCGCCTTAGGCGAAGCCAAGCTCCTGCTCTGTTGTACCGTAGTAGCGGTCGTCCCAGTAGGAGAGGATGTGCCATCTTAAGCAACAGGAAGATCTTTTTGGTCTCGATACCAATCGTGTGCTTCGCGATGAGGCACAGTCATATTTGGGCGGCCGGCCGCTTGAACCGACGCGGCCGCGGGCACAAGATTGCTTCCGCTCCCTACGTCCCTCAGCTCGCTTTAGAGTCGGGGGGGGAGGGAGACGAAGCGTGAGTCCGCCGCCCCTACACAGCAAGCGCAGCAGCTAATATACAAAAAGACAGGAAAGAGGCGGGCCAGAAGGAAGGTGAACCCGCTCGCAAGTTGCCTTGCTTGTACGACTCTGTACTTAAAGGTACTCCTGAGGCGGCTACAGAGCCAGATGTCTGGCCGGCCCGATATGGAGTATGACTCTTTAGATCATGTTTGAAGGCCTGTATATTTCCCATGACATGTAGGAGCCTCTCTCTGTCGATGCTCCCCTTGGTGGGACCGTCCGCAATCATGTCTCGGGTGTCGCACCACTGGATATTGTGCACAATTCCACGCTCCATCATCTGTCGGATCCAACTGATGTGTCCTAAAAGGGTACACTCCGTCGGTTTCTTCAAGTTTTTGCTTGACAAGGACTTAAAAACAGACTCAGCATCTATGGTCAAAGTGACCTCGATGCTCAGGCCACCCAACTCAAGTATGTCTTTCAACTGAGTGGGCGTGAGCGGCCCTGCGTGGAGCTCGTGCAGAGTCACAATCGTAGGATAACAGTCCTCCAAATTATGGGCTGCTGCTAGTGTCTCCGCTGAATAGTTCGAGCGGGCCTGCAAGCGGTGAGACTTGCAGTGCGCATCTGTCAAGTGGACGACAGGCTTACCGGATGACGTGTTTCCACGCCGTAGCAGGTTTGCCCCGCGAATACCGTAGCCTCTGACGTCGTCATCGGCGTCTCCATTCAGGCGTCGGCATCCTGAGTCGTTGTGCAGGTCAACCTCGCTCGTAGGGGTCATCGCCTGGTATACGATCTTCTTGGGGCAAGCCTGCAGCTTCCTGGTGATCGCGTTCAGTCGTCGCACTTGGATGTTGGTCGGTTCTTGGGCACGCAGTAGAGATACAGCACACACCATCAATCACATTTGGTGATTAATTCATACGCCAGCGCACCTTTGAGGCTGACGAACATGTCTGCGACCAAGCGTCAGCGTCGGCGCCAGGAAGTTCCGGATGTCGTATAAGACGGAACTGCTTGATGTATTCGTCTTGGTCCAAGGTAACAGTGCCGTGCTTATCCACGGTATATATCACAGCACAGTTGGTGTATGTGTGCTTGTTGAGTTTACACTTACCAGAGGTGTCTTCTACGCATGTGACATAGTTGTCAATGGTGTCCTCAGTGCCGGCGATATTGATCTCATCAACGTGCTTGGCCGTAAGCAGGTTGTTGCTCGTCTCGTATTTTTCGTCGTAGGACGTGGGCTGGGGACCAAAACCAACGGTGGCCTTTTTGAGTTTTAGTGAGAAAACTCGCTGTGCGTTTTTGGTGCCCGTGCCTGGTTTCAAGCAGTGCAAGCCATGCTTTGACTCGTCGTAGTGTTCGAACCCTGGGAGATTCCGACGCACCGTGGCCGACCTAGGCGGCAGAGTAAAACACACCACGCGTTCCCTTTTCACCAGTTGCCTCAGCAAGGTCCTGATAGGTCAACCCCTTCAGGGAGGCCATGTTGATGACGAGGGAAGCGATGATCCATTGCTTCTTGCACGCTGCCGTGCTAGCGAGTAGTCTCTGGGTTGACCGCCGCGCTGTTTCCGAAAAGGTTTTTAAGTCGATGGCTTCAAATCCATGAAGCCCCAGAGTGCCAGGCGTAATCTGACGGTGCGTTCCATATTGCCCTTCTTGTTCTTCACAAACCTCTATTTGCACACGTGCCTCGAAGTCGTGATGTTTGGCGCTTTAGCTATGTCTTGCATTTTGAAGCACGGCTTGCCAAACCATGTCTTGAGCTCAGTGTAGAGGGCTTTCGATCCTTTCTCGGGATTCGCCTGGATATCAGTTTTCGCGAGGAGGTCGTCTTCCTTGACGACCACAGCTCGCTTTGCAGCGGCGGTAACATATACTCGCATAGTGGTCACGCGGCCAGCTTCCAGTATCATGTGTTGTTGTTCGGACAGGACTGCCTGTGACATTTCTGCCGCGAAGTAGAGTTCTACAGATTGTCCATGTTCGTCTGAGTCCAGTCCGTAGCTGTAGTCATCGACCATGGAACACACTTGGACGTAATGCGTCACTTCGGTGTCGGAATCGTGAGTGGGTCCCCACTTTGGCAGGTGTCCCCGCTGTTCATCAGCTACAGTGATTCGCGCACTTTGATCTGGCACCATCCGTGTGGTCATTGTAAAAAAAGGTCCTCCGGTGGAGTTGCCTCCAGCATTCCCTTTCGTCTTGTAGTTTTGCATGCCACACTTCCATGACATGTGGCTCGAGATCAGCCTCCGATTCCTCGTAGATCGTAGAAAGCCGTACATCATCATGTTGTGGTTCGGCTTCTGAGGCTTCTCTTGTGGTTCCATTCGGTGTCGGTGTATCCGCCAATTCCTCAAATCTTGTCATGTCTTAGCTAGCCTGACAGACTGTGGAATAAGTTTCTGATCAGCTACTGTAGAGCTAGGTGTATCTTAGGAGATAGATGGCTTGCACTCGTCATCTGAAGCGTTCTTTTCCTTGGTTGGCACATCGCCAAAAGTCATGGCAGGTCTCCCCGCTGGCTAGCTGGCCACGGATGTCAATGCTGTCCGTAGCGCAGCGCTGTCGGAGCCAATGTCTCTGGCTTTCGGTGCTTCAATAGAGAGAATGTCCTGCGCCGCCGCATTGTACTTGAACATCTCGATTGCCCACTCGGATGATGTTTTTTTCACCAATTTCGGGATCGTTCTTTACAACTGGGAATGGGCCATTCCAGCCTCCCCAGTCGTCCTTCGTGGTTGTGGGGCGATGGTAATCGACCAGGTCTCCTTCATCGTAATAACGTTTATCGGCGACAGTTGTCTTAGTACGTAGGGCACGATTGGTCTTAGCTACTGCTGTGGACTGTGTGATTGCTGCAATGCATGCCTTGCGTATCTTGTGTTCACGAGAGTGATCCGACGTTTCCGTCGGCTGCTCGTGGTCCGAGACAGGTCTGTCAGGCAACATTGCTGGTTGCCGCCCAGACAGCGTTGTACGGACAGACCTCGCTGTAGAAGGTGAACGCGCTGGCGGCGAACAAGGCCTCGTGTAGTAGCCGCGCGAACAAAAGAGGC